ACATTTGGAACTAAAAAAATTGATACAGATCTTACGGATCTATAAACACTTATTTTTAGCGAGAAATGAACAGTCCAAATAATTTGTTATAATATACACTATTTTTAGAGCCTGAAATCCTATTTTTTTTCCACAATTATAATTTTCAAGCTAAGATGAGCGATGTAAATATTTTTAAATACTTGAATTGAAATTTTCAATGAATTATGAGATGAATTACTTATTTTGATAGGGCTGCAGCCCTATCAAACTATTTCCAAATACAAATGGACCTCGTTTTTATGACTCCCCCGACCATTGTTGGCAAAACCGAGTGATCTAACTGCCAAACGTCAGGTTCGACGGTTTTGGACATCGACCTGTATTTAAAAAAAAAAAAATCTATATATATATATATATTCCCAAAAATAAGGAATTTATTTTGTAATGTATTTTTTAATATTAATTATATTATGGTAAAGATTAAAAAATATTTTGATCTTTAATACTCACTTTTATATTTTCCCATCGTTTTTAAAAAATTAAAAAATATCTCTAGGCACAAATCAATTAATTAAAATCCATTTTTTTAATTAATTTTCAACTTCATTTGAATTTGTTTTGTTTTAATCATTCTATAGGGTGCAGTTAGCATACATATGCATCAGTAGCTGTAGAGGTAAGGTGCACCTTTAAAATTTATCATGGTATATAATTTGATGTAAAATATTTTTAAGATTATCTCAAAATATATTTTTGTATCTAATTATAAAATTTTAAATTTCAAAATTGGTTAAAATCAAGAAGATCTATAAATATATGAAATCTTGAAAATGGATGGTGTAGATAATATGTTGTAAAATGCACTATTTATGAGACTTAAAATCTTTTTATTTTTCATGGTCCTACATCTCGATGTCGAGATGATCAATCAAAGGGTTTTTCAACATTAAAACTACCTTTTTCCAATAGATTTTTGAGGTGCATCCGTACTTCTACTTTATAAGGTTGCATCCTTAGATAAACTTTTTCTATATAAGGTTGCATCCTTAGATAAACTTTTTCTATATGCCTTTTATATTTTTTAGTATAATTTTTTTTTGTATCTTTCTTATTTTTTTCAACAATTGTTTGACCGTCCGGGACTTACCAGGTTAGAGCGATTCCGGTTTACCAGTTAAATTGGTTAAACTGCTTCCGGGCCCATATCCGATTAACCGTCCCGATTTAATTTTACAAACACCGCCACTAACTCATCCTATTATCTTGCAGGCTCCCTCTAACATCTATTTTTATTATAGATTTCCATTATAAAATTTTATTATTTTAAAATTTTTCCATATCCATTAGATAGGAGTCTTTAGGAGTGTGGAGATTCCCATCTTAAATATGGATGTTTACGAGGCTCACCTACCAAAAAACTTTTCCAATACAAATTGGGGGTATCCATTATTATTATTGAAGCATTTTTCAGCAATGCGAAGCCGCGTTTTCCCCGAACCGTACCCAAATGGTCTGCCACCTCTCTCTTTCGATGACAGCCTGGATATATTTGAAACCACGTCTGCTCTCTCGTTCTTTTCCTCTCTCTCTCTCTCCACTTGCACTGTTCCCTCTCTCTTGCTTTGGACGGCAGCCTTTATCGTTTAGGAACCTCATTCAATACGGCTGCACCCCTACTATAAATAAATAAAACTTCAACCTCGTAACTCGACAAAAACTGTAATTCAAGTATCGTAAAACTCTACATCCACCATCCATCTCAGCTTGAGTGTCATGGTTACGAAAGAAAATTACGATTTTAAGTTTTTAAAAAATGAGTATTGTAACAAATTATTTAGACCGTCTATCTCGTCTTAAAAAAGTAAATTAAGATATGTATATTTTTTTTTAGTTTTAAATTTTATTATCGGTATTGAAAATTAATTTTAAAACCATTATAAATATTTTTATTGGTGAAAGTGCTTTTCAAATAAAGATTTGAGATGAGACTTTATTTTGTTTTCATAAAGCCCAGGCTTTATAAGCACTTTATAGTCCCGACACAAGTAACTTGCCTTTCCTAAAAATGGATACATCGACTCACTCAACATTTAATGCACCGCCAGGAAGAGCGTCTCTCTCTCTCTCTTTTTCTTTTATTTTGGTATTTCATCATGTTTGCTGCTTAATTGCCACGTCCCGAGGAAAGGAAATGTTTTAAGGGAAAGCTTTTTTATGCCACCTTGACACCGTATAAGTTCTACATCCCCCTTATCCAATTTTCATGTTTGAATGGGTGGGTTAAGATTGTCTCAATCAAAACGTCAGTATCTATATTTTTTTATTTTTTATTTTTTATTTATAAATTATTTTGACACCAAATTTGTAACCTTCATTTTTATATTAAACTTACACTAACGAAAAATATAAAAAAATTAATTTTAATAAAATAAAATTACCAAAATAACTTTGAAAATTCCTAGAGGTATTCTGGTCATTATTTTTATCAATAATTTATTGTTAATATTTTTTATAGGTGCGCCCCAATGAAAAGATAGCACGTACCAAATTTCATATTTAGAAAAATTCTATTAAAAAAATAAAAAATAAAATAATTTGAGACGTCGAATTTAAGATCAAACGATGAGTGGCTCTCTTGATAAAAAATGGACGGTTGGATGGTAAGGGGAACATAGAATTTCTATGGTGTAAGGGGAACATAGAATTTATATGGTGTAAGGGGAACATAGAAAGCTTTCCCATTTTTTAAAACACACTCAAAGTATCTAATTGTTTCATGTTGTACGTATTTTATCCATGAAAAAGTTTATACATGGTATCAATTTTATTTTTTATTTTCATTTTTTTGATTGTTTACACGGTATCAACTTTATTATTATACTATTGAAGCAAGGTGTAGCTAAAAAATCATTTAAAAGAGAGTGTTTTAATAATTGTAAACTATCAAATTGATTATCGCGTCCTTAAGATGTATAGATATATATAAAAATAGAAGATATCAAGTTCTAAAATTAGCATGTGTTAGTAACAAATTATCTGGACCATTTATTTTCAAGATTAACATAATTAAAGGACAAGGTAAGCTTGTTGTACTTCGCTTAGTGTATAAAACTCATATACTTCTCCTTATTCTGAAGATGACTCAAATCACAAGGTCATGCCTTTACACTATTTTACTTTTAATTTTTTCTACATAACATTTTTACACCAAATTTCGTGTGTCCACTCCTCTCTTAAACTCACACATGTAAAAAAAATAAAAAAAATATTTTCAATTAAATAAAATGATCAAAATGCCATTATTTTATCAAAAATATATTTTTAATATTTTTTAGGTGCGCCCCATTGAGATGGTGGTATGTATCAAATTTCATATTCATATAATTTGTAGGGAAAAATAATGTACTATGAAGCGTCAAATCTAGATCAAATAGTCAGTGACTCACTTGATCAAAATTGAACGGCTGGATGAGAAGTATCTTCTATACAATATATGCAGCATATACTCAATCACTAATATATTTAAATTTTTTAATTAAAGATGAAAATAATTGTACAAGCCATAAAAAGGTTGACAAAATATGGAGGCCCGCCTTACTTCCACACCACAAGGAAGACACCTTATCTACCTCACCCCAATCAAAATACACCTTAAGTTTCGAATATTATTACTCATCATTAGTGTCTTAGCTTTTCAATTAAATAAAAAATGTATAAAAAAATTAAATACTTGATTTGCAATTTGATTAACATCCCATAAAGAAAAAAAAAAAATGTATAAAAAAATTAAATACTTGAACTGCAATTTGATTAACATCCCATAAAGAAAAATCAGATGTTCCCGAAATTTATCACCGAAATTTCATTGCCTGAAATTTTCGCGGGAATTTTATTAGGCGAGAAATTGGGATAAAGAGGAGGGGAACGCTAGGTCCCCCCATTATTACGCGCAGCAGCCAGAGATTAATTTAATTAAAATGCTAAATGACTAAAACGCCCCTAACAAAATTGTTAACGTGATTCGAACCCATCAACGGAATTTGTTCGGAAGCGCGTCATTTGCTAAAAATGTTTGTGGTATTTTAGTAATTAGGCAAGAATTATAGATCTTCCCCACGATATGAAACCGCTGGTCAACAAACAGGCGCCTTACTGACTACAATTCCGACAATCATGTTTTCATAAATGGCAAGAATGTCCCCACCATGTTAAAGAAATAACTATAATACCCTTAATTTTTTTGAAATGCCAAAGGTGACTTATTTTCACCAAAGTGACAATTATATCCCATATTCAATTGAAACCCTAATGCCGATAGCTTCAAAAATGAAAATAAAATGATTAAATATTCATAAAACTTTGCTTGAATTTTTTATTCTGACCAATTATCAGATCAAAATTTCTCAATTATATCTACAAAATCAAGTCCAAATTTCAATTTGTGACAACATATATTAAAACCAAACTAAGTTTTTCAATGAGAAAAATAGAGGTTTAGAAATCCATTAGGCTGAGCATTGGTCTCGAGGAAAAAATTACATCAGTGATTTAAAAATCGCCTATTTGACTCAAGAGTCGCCTTGAGTTAGATTGAATTGTGAGGCCGACAATTTTAGGTTGAAAAACACTGAAACTGCCTAAGTTCTATACCTTTTTTTTTTTTTTGATAAGAATGTTCCAGTTCAGCCATGGAATTGGAATCAGACCCTGCCGAATTCCGATTATAGGCACAATCAGGGAGGGCCAATATGGTCATTGTCGCAATAGGAGGACCTTTTGGGTATAAAAGCAATTATTGTCAGCAAATAGACTTTTTCTAAAAGATTGGGCCATTATGGTCATTGTCACTTAAAAAACAAAAACATTTTTTTATTACAGCCACTGCTATAAGACATTTTCTTTGGTTACCACAATATCCTGACCTTCTCACGGAAATGTCCATGAAAGATCCTGAACCAGCTCCACCACCTTTAAACGTTTCATCTCCTTTCTCCTAGTAAGGATTTTCCACCTTTTTATGTGGATGGTTATATTGTTTGATGACTCTGCTTTCGTCATAGTTTCAATTTGTTGAGTAATTCGAGTACTATTTTTAGTTCTGGAAACCATCATTTGATCCTGTCCATTTGAAGTTTGAGGTGGTGCTTGTATTTGTTTTGAATGATTTTTTGAATAAGTTTGAAAGCTTGGATCTTTTGGGGATGTATCAGGTGGTGAGGTTTATACTATTCATTAATGGTGCAATTGTAAAAGTAGCTCTGATCTAAAAGTTGTCTTCTTTTTTTGTTGTTGATGTTAGTTTCTTGAATTCATGGTTTTCTTTTAATGAGGGGCGGCTTTGATTTTTTGGGATTATCTGCTGTGTCTTTTGGTGTTGTTGTTACTTCCTCATCATTATTGTCAGCTGAAACTTTTTATTTTTGGGTTTTTTCAGGGGTACTAATTAGTTTATATATTTTGGTGTTCTTTTTTTTTTATGTTCATTTATTAGTTTTATGCGAATCCAAATTTATGCTGTTCTTGTTTTCCTGTAGAGTGTTTATGATGTCATTTCCTTTCCTTTAATCGATTATTTTGAGATGTTAGCACTGTAAATTGCAATTTATGTTTTTGAGCTTCGGGCGAAAAAAATATTTCATGTATTAACATTCTTCCCTCCTTTTCATTACAGATTCAAATAATTTATCGTTCTCTCATGGATAGAAAATGGCTCTGATCCATAACTTTGGCTCCTTGATCCAAGTCTCCTGTACTATTTATGGGTATATTTGTTTGAGGAAAAGGGTTTAGTTATCGGGTTCCATCCTTTGTTTCATGGGCAATTCATGCCGGGGTTCTTTTAGAAACACAGTCATTCAGGGCTATAAAGAGCCCACGGATCGATCGGGGAGGACTAACGGTTCGGTAGATGGTCGATCCAACTCTGATTACTCACCCCATAGCTTAAATTCTCAAGTTATCGCCGAGGAATTTGCGAAAGACAATTCAAAAAGAGGGAACCCGGGCTCTAACAATATCTTTGACCTTTCTACTAAAGATAACATTATGAGGCGAGGAGGTGAGAACCAAACTTACTATGTTTTAGGCCATAAGACTGAGAATATAAGGGATCTTTACACATTAGGGAGGAAATTGGGTCAGGGTCAATTTGGGACAACTTATTTGTGCACTGAAATTGCTACTGGTAAGGAGTATGCCTCCAAATCTATTTCTAAGAGGAAGCTAATCTCTAAAGAAGATGTGGAGGATGTGAGGAGAGAGATTCAAATTATGCACCACCTTTCGGGTCATAAGAATGTGGTTACAATAAAAGGGGCTTATGAAGACTCGTTATTTGTTCATATAGTGATGGAATTATGCTCGGGTGGTGAGCTTTTTGATAGGATAATTCAGAGGGGGCACTATAGTGAGAGAAAGGCAGCGGAGTTGACAAAAATCATAGTGGGAGTAGTCGAGGCTTGCCACTCGCTTGGTGTCATGCACAGGGATTTGAAACCTGAGAACTTTTTGCTTGTCAACAAGGATGATGACTCTTCTCTCAAAGCCATTGATTTTGGGCTCTCTGTCTTCTTCAAGCCAGGTGTGTGCCAAACATATTTGTATGTCATTTTGTGTATTGCATAAGCTGTGGACTTTTCATATTGAAATAGAGTACTTATACTGTTTAAGACAACGGATAGAACAAGTTTCTTTTCTTTTTACTCTACATTTCATATGCTTTTCTATAACTTTGTAATGAGTAAATTTTCAATATCAAATATCCTAGTTGTTTTTCATTAGAAAAAGACAAGCATTACCCTAAGTGTTACTGTTTTTTGGTATTTAGTGCTGTTTACTATTCAGTAGTATAGTTCCCACTTCCTCGATCAATATATTTTTTTGTTCTGTAAATTATTGAAATGAAGATTGCCTGCATCTCAGTTGATTTTATTGGATATAAGTGTCATTGTGAATGGGTTTACCAGCTCAACACTTACCCATGATGTGAACTCTTTCCGTGGTCCCTTTTTCCTTTTTTAATGTCTCTCTTACCCTATTTTTAGTTAGAAATTATGTGCGCATACCTTCCTGTTGAACAAAAAAGATGTAAAATATGTGCAGGCCAAGTTTTCACCGACGTGGTTGGGAGTCCGTACTATGTCGCACCTGAGGTATTGTGCAAACACTATGGACCTGAGGCCGATGTATGGACAGCTGGGGTTATACTGTATATATTGCTAAGTGGGGTGCCCCCATTTTGGGCAGGTTTGGAATCTCCTCTTACTGCACTTTTATTGGGTTTTCTTGGTATGGTTCTTTTAGTTTTCTTTTTGATAAATGATTGGTCTAGTTCATTTGATAAAATGATTTAGTGTCCTTAATGATATCCAGAAACACAGCAAGGGATTTTCGATGCAGTATTAAAAGGAGTCATTGATTTCGAGACAGATCCATGGCCTGTTATCTCAGATAGTGCCAAGGATCTCATTAAGAAGATGCTTTGTTGGCGTCCTTCAGAACGTTTGACTGCCCATGAAGTGCTATGTATGTCTTCCGACTTAGTTCATATAAATTGTTTAGCAATCTTACACTATAATCCTAGTATTTCATTTTTGTTTTATCTTAAATTTTGCTCGGTCTATTTGTTGAATAAAAAGTGGTTTTCATCTTGATATTATCTTATTTCATTATTTGAAGTAATTATGCAATTGGTCATATGTCAGGTCATCCTTGGATATGTGAAAATGGAGTGGCTCCTGACAGACCATTGGATCCAGCTGTGCTATCCCGTCTTAAACAATTTTCCGCAATGAATAAGTTGAAGAAGATGGCTTTACGAGTAAGTTTGTGTTGCTATTTAACATATTTAGGTAATCATGTGACATGATTGATTATGATAACTTTTTGCCTACTTGAAGACGTAATCAAGGATATTAATTATATGTTCAAACAACTACTGTGTTTTCCTCATGATTTAAAACTTTAATTGCTTTGTTTTTGGGTCTTGACACTTATTTTGGAATAATTTCAATCTTTCTATCGGCATGGGGAGAAATGTCATCTGCTTTTGAATTTTCCTCATGATTTAAAACTTTAATTACTTTTTTTTGGGTCTTGACACTTATTTTGGAATAATTTCAATCTTTCTATCGGCATGGGGAGAAATGTCTGTGGTCTTGATCCCTATGGGATTTATCTGTTTTTTTTTTTGGTAGTGTGCTTTTTATGATTAGTAATGTATGGTTTCATTAATAGCAGTTGGTTATCAACCTTCTGCAACTTTGTGGTGGAGTAGATTTTGACGCTCAAGTTCATGGGAAAATATCGAAGCAGGGGACTGCTCTACAAAGTTATGCAGAGAATGTTATGTTATATGGCTCAATTTGATAATGTTATGTTATATGGCTCAATTTGATAATTTTTGAAGAGGCACAGCTTGACATATTAGGATGGAAGTGCCTCTGCTTCTCACTCATGGTTCCTTACTATAGGAGATACTGTGATTTTCTCCTTTATTGTTCTTGACAACCCTATTCTGAATAACTATATTTGAAAACTTATCCGGGTGCGTGCTACGACACAAATCGGGTGTAAAAAAATTCCTCCATCATTTGTCCAGTCCATATGTAGTCTTTTAAGTCAAAACTCTTAAATTGCAACTTCTTTTGGGGTTTTGTGAATTTCTGGTTAGACTATATTTTTTTTTTTTTGAAGAAATGTTAACTCTGGTTAGACTAGATATTAAGGAGCAAAACCTTCGAAGCATCTCCTTAGATATTAAGGAGCAAAACCTTCGAAGCATCTCCTTATTTAGATTCTCCTTTTGGCTCCTTTTGGTAATGGATTCAATAGCCAAAGACTCATTGTCGTCACCTTTCTGTTTCCTATCTGATTTCCTGAGACTATCACGCTTGAGTATCATCAATGAGAAATCTATTGATTGGTGAACTTTTAGATGGTTATATTAGTGCGGCATCACAAGTACCTTATTAGTCGACAAATAGTTTGTTTCTTGTAGAAAAGTGAAACCAGGCATTGCGTGTTGCCTTATTATGCACATCACTAGTATTCACATGATTACAGAAGGGCAATGGAGCTATCTGTGGGACATGTATCACCCAGACAATTTGGCTCTCCTCTACCAAATCTAGTATGACATTTGTATCCTAGTTAAGGCGATATTTTATGCTATTTCACCATTGCTTTTGTGGTCTTTATAAGCTCCTCGATTGGTCCCAACTCACAAGCTTGCTAAGGCAATTTCTGGTTGAATTTCAGACACGTGAAAATAGATTTGGACTCTGTATATTTCTTATGGGATTGGGATCTAATTGAGACTTTCCAGTCTGCAATATTGGAATTTATGCGCTTGACATTATAGCCAAAAGACATGCCTTCCTGTAGTTGTTAATACTTCATCTGAGATTGTTCTTGTCGTATATGTTGGGTTGTGCATTGGCTTTCAGCTTTAAAAAGAAACTCAATATTTTGTGAAGAATTATTTGAAATTATTGTATGAATCCAGGTCAAGTCATTGCCAATTTTCAAAAGTGACAATATTACATCTTTTGCAAAACATAATACATCTATGGATTCCACACTCTGGGCTTGAGCCAATACAAGTTTTCGTTAATTAAGATAAAATTTTTAGTGAAGATTTAGTATCATTATCTCGGGCAATTTTCCACAAGGCATATGCATACTTAGGATTGGGATTGTATACTATGAAACCTTTTATGTTACAAGGAGGTCACAATTGCTACTAGCCATTAGGTCTCAGATTGGATGGATTTGGGTGTCACACAAAGTTTGAGATTTTTTTTTTTTTAACTTTTGAGTCTAGTGAATGACATGCTCACAACCACCCAATTTGAAATCTGACGGACACGAGTGATTGTGATCTCATTATATTAAACGTAAATGGTCTCTTTGTATACTTTTCCCGTGGAATTTGTGGCTCAAAAATGAGTAAAATCGTTTGAGATGGATGTGCCTTTCAAATGCTGTGGTTATTGTCCTAACTCAAGTTACAGTTCGGCTGGCTTTACTAATAAACCAAGAAGAGGAGAATGGCCATCTTTTTGTTCTATCTTTTTTTATTATTTTACTTGTATATTTTTAAATTGACCTGAAGGAGATTGTAATTTTCCCTTTTTGGTTGGGGATTTGGGGGATTTGAGATGACAAACCATACATAGTTACTGAAATTTATACCAAAACTTCTGTTCATGGGGTTCATTATATAATATTGTATAATAATAATACAGTACTATAATAATGCACCGGATTTTAAATTATTAGTTAAGTGTTTCTATGCAGTTTCTATATTTTATTTCTGGACCTTGACTCTACCTTCATTGAGGAGATTAATTCATGAATACCTTACAAGAATTTATTTTATCAGGTGATAGCTGAAAGCTTGTCGGAGGAGGAAATTGCTGGGTTAAGAGAGATGTTTACGGCAATGGATACTGATAATAGTGGTGCCATCACATTTGATGAACTTAAAGCTGGTCTGAAAAGATACGGGTCCAACTTGAAGGAGTCAGAAATTCGTGATCTTATGGATGCGGTATGAATCTGTTTGTTGATATTGATAAAGTTTTGTGGCTCTCATGTGGATAGTTATTGCACTGTTGACAATATGATTTTCCTTTTAAAAAAAAAAATCCCTTTTTGTTGAATAATCTAGATTTCCAGTCATATTTAGTGCTGAAAATTGGCTTGATTTTATTTGTTTGTACTTTCTTTCTTTGTTTCTTTCCTTTTTTTTGGTAAAAACCATGAACTAATTGGATCTGTCAAGTAGAGTATGTTTTATCAAATTTTTTGACACCTTTATGTAGTAAATTATTCTGTGAATGATACAGATGCACTCCAACTCTCCTTATCAAAGGAATACACTTCAACTCAACCCATCAAAAGAATATAATTCTTGGAATTTGATTCTTTTCTGTTTCTATTCAATCAATATTTGCTTCTATCATTCTGTCTTGAAACTTCTTTTTTGTTATATGGCAAAAGAAGCAATGCACATTTTAATTTATTTAATTTGCATCATAACTTTGCTATCTGGTTATAATGTTTCTCTAATCTTAACCTGGTTCTCCTTAAATTTAATTCCTTCATAGCAATTCTACTAAATTACAAGTAAGAGTCTAGTAGTAAATAAGACACTGAAAGATTCTGATAGGTGCTTTCCCCAATGGATCTTCCCAAGTTATAGATATCAGACTTTGATTTCCTGTTTATCTGTTCTCTATGGCAACAACCAATGGTTATGGGTTGTCTCAAGATTCTAGAGAATTCTCCTCATTTTGCTTAAAATCCAAACACATTGAGTTGTAAGGTTGGCACCAAGCTGTTCCTATTATGATTGATATAATAGGTCAACTTTTCACTAAAAAAAGAAAAAACGAAAAAGGTTGGCATCGAACTAGGTTATACCAAAGAGAACCGAGCAGATCATGCAGGATGGGTCTGGGAATAGCACATATGCCCCTTTGGAGAGGCATCATAACTTTGTTTTAATCTTTTATCTTGACATACCATCATTTATTGTGAGGAAGCCTAATGATGCTGATAGAACAAGCCCTGCTGGGTCACACATCAAATCTTATGAACAAATAAATATTCACCACCCCAATATTTTATGCAGCTTTCAAACTTTGCTAGCTTATTTAATTTTTCATTAGCCTCTTACAGGACATCACAAGACTGGTGATGCAAATTCCTTTTAGAGTGAGGGGTGGGTGGAGAAAAATTTCAGGTTGTTTTTTATAGGTTAGTAGCATAATCGAATTGAATGTTCAGGATTGCTTTTTTCCCCTACTTGGAGATAAACAGTTCTTATTCTTGCTAATTTTTGTTGTAATCAGTGGATGAGTCTCTCACATATTGCTCTTGTATCATTTCAAAATTAATCTTTTTTCTCATTTGAGTAGAATGGCACATTTCTTGAAATATTCAAGTCTTCTGTCAGTTTATAATTTGAGCTTCCTAGTTTTACTGCCCCAAATTTCAAAATTGGATCATTGGGAATGTGCCTAATAATTCAAGAAATTGGATTTTTTGATAATTTGAAGGAATCTGTTGCAGGCTGATGTGGACAATAGTGGCACTATTGATTATGGAGAGTTCGTTGCTGCAACTGTTCATTTGAATAAGCTGGAGCGTGAAGAGCACTTGGTAGCTGCCTTTTCATACTTTGACAAGGATGGCAGTGGTTACATAACAGTCGATGAACTCCAGCACGCGTGTTCTGAACATAATATCAGTGATGTTCCCATTGAAGATATCATCCGTGAAGTCGACCAAGACAATGTGTGCAAAACAATCTCTCTCTCTCTCTCTCTCTCTCTCTCTCTCTCTCTCTCTTTGTGGCATACATCTCTCTCTCTTTCTCTCATGTTTTGTGTTTCTATGCAGGATGGACGAATAGATTACAATGAGTTTGTGGCCATGATGCTAAAGGGCAATGGGGGCCTTGGAAGACGAACTATGCGCAACAGCCTTAATGTGAGCATGCGAGATGCACCTGGTGCTCATTGATCTCTTGTCCCTCATGCATCCCTTGTATAGGTCAGTATTACATTTTGGAATTTTTTCCAGTAATGTGATTAATGTCATCTGTAGAGAGAGAGAGAGAGAGAGAGAGAGAGAGAGAGGAGGGGTAGGGGTAGGTAGTTGTCGTACTAGTTAGAAGAGGACAACATCTACGTACGTTACTTCTTCACTCTTCTACGTACTGTACGTAAGAAAAGAA